ACAACATGCAGTGACCGTTTTATTTAAATGGTAGAAAATAACTGATTTAGTCTAAAACGCTGATCTTACCGTTTTGAGTCGTCCGGAGATTTCTTGATCTTTAGTGTTTGAGCACAGACACATATCCTAATCGTGATACTTTGATTCCCAATTACATATTCTGCATAAATGTTAATTGATTTTGCACAGAGCTTCCACAATTCACGGTCTGTGGGAAGCTGTCCTAGTACGCTAACAACAGCCAAATCATTATCTTATTTTAATCCTATCTTTATAGCATGTATATCGATAGACAACGCGAGACATCTATTCAGCTACTCGGTTCTGCTTTCACTTTTCTAGCTCATGATTTTCAAAAAGTAAAAGAAAACTGAAGGCAACCCACAACATTAGCATTTCCAAAAGAGCTGGCATAATTTGTACGAGATCAAGCACATCTCCATCCAAAGCATGGCTTCTTGGGGGAAAAGCCGCTGCCTCTAACTGTGGATCAAGTACAACTTTGCAAACAAAACAGAATTCTGTCAGCAACAAAGCAGGCAAAAAAAAAAACAATTGCCTCTTGCAATGTACAAAATTCAAGATAGATCTTTATCACTACTTCAACAGTACACACAATAAAAAAGATCTTAAAAAAGTTCCTAGAGTTCTATTTCTGTTGAGCCTTCGTAGCTTTTCGAAGACGCTTAGCAAAATAAGTGCATGCTAAGCAAAACGATATCACAAATGTGGATCGATAAACCACAAAAATACCTTCCTAACAATAACAATAACACGGTGATTTGCATATCTCATGAAGAAGAACACTTCAAGCGAAGTGATGATCTAAGTTCTATTCCAGCTATGTGCAAAGAATAGAGTGAGATGGTCGAGATTCAAGCAAATGAGTTTTTTTTCAGCGCCCAACAAAAAAAAGCGAAATACGAACTAGGAGTTCACAAAATGAAATCTAATGCTTCAAAAGAGACCCGGCTTGACCAGTAATTCGCGATGGGCACTGACAATGTGTAG